TTTGGCTTGGATGTACTTAAATATTTAAGGAGTCAATAAAAATTAACATACCTTAGCCCAATTCTTTGTTTGATCCTTTAAATTTGATAAATAACTTAAGTGTAAGCGCTCATTCGGCACAAATTTAAGCCTAGCACTATATAAACAGGGTTCCCCGTTTTGATTCTTTATTTAAATGTTTTTCAACACTGTAACCTTTCAAAATATTATCGATTGGCAGGGCTGTATTCGAAAATAATCGAGCAATATCGCAAATAAAAAAGACGATACCGATGTACTTATTATTTTGGCCAGTAGTGTATATATATTGCATACGCATATGTATGTGAACATTTGAGGTTATGTTGTTTATCACCGTGCGTGCATGGAAACTTCGTAGTTACAAGTACTGCGCTGTGTGCATAGGTATGCTAACATACATACAAATTTTCATAGAAATCTCTGTTTGTTAATAGCATCCAATTTACTTAATTATTTCACACATTAGCTTATAAGCTAATAGTTATTAGTTTACGTTACGTGACGTTTTGTGTTTGTGTGTATATGTATGTAATAAAACAGTTATTACAACACATTACCGATTTGGTTTTTTAAAGAAAAACGTGCTCGAATAAAAATCAAAGATAAACTAACACTAATTATAAAAAAAATCATTTTACTTACGCTGTAAATATGGAAGGGCTTTTTTAAGGTTGAATTCCGGGAGCAGGCCCTCCAATTTTTGGTCGTCTTTGTTGTCACTCATTAAACACATTGCAAAGTTCCACCATATACAAAGTGAATTTGCAGCGATATAGACGCCGCTTAATTCGATAACTTTGTAGTAATTTATAGAGTTGAGTTTGGTCTCTTTCTCCTCTCACTCTAATTCCTTTTACGTTTTCCCCTCATGTCCCTCAATGAGATATCGTCCCTGAACATCATGACCGATCGACTTAATCATTTTTAAATATGTCTAAAAATATCCCCATTATAATTTAGAATACACAAAAAATAGCATTATAGTGTTATCGAACTCTGGTAACACTAAAGCGTTAACCACAAGGTCGGTCCTTTCTTTATTTCTGATTTCTTAAGCTGAGGTTGGTTGTGCTCTAGTAAATAAACAAAACTATTATTGAATACAAAATAACGCTTATATATTTATTTAAACTTGGAATCCCAACAGCTGCAAATGGAAGGCGATGTTAAATCACTCGTTCTTCCAAGGGAATCAAAGAATGAGGATATTCTAGGAAATCCAGGCCGTTGGATATGGCAGCTTTGGGCTTTCTGCGGGCTTTTATATTGCTGTGCATGTATTAACAGTAAAGTTTAACAGTCCGCATCATTGTTAAGTAATCAGCTGGGAAAGCCTGTTTTAATGTTAACGAGGTGGCAACGCGAAGAAATCGCATTGTTTTTTTTAAAGTTAAATGTGGAAAAAAGTGTACAATTAATCAATTTAAGTGCACTTTTTTGTGTGAACGTGAATTGTAGATATTGATTGTGGTGTTCCTATAATCTTCTGTAAGTACTAACCTTAAAAAACCAAAAGCCTGTAGTTTATTTATTTGAATAGAGCTACAAAGTGAGTCCAGCTCTTTTCACCTCTAAAACTTGTTTTATGTTGTAAAGTAATCAATTCTTATAGTACCTAGTTAGTATAAAAGTGCACTTTTGCGCACTTTCTCTGAAATTTAACTTTTTAGATTCTAATCTCACTTTTGCAAACTACGTTTTGCTTGAAAAGTGGATGTCAGAGTAGACGAAAAATGCTAAGGAGATTGCCATCTTCAATTATATGAAATCGGCAGTACGCTGACCTTGCTCTGAGCACGATGAGGAACTTTTGGCCGAAAAAAGTAAAATCATTTGCAACAAAATATCTGATCACTGGCTAAAGGCCAAAAGAAACTTAAACCAATTGAAGCGAAGGCATTCTACTTGTCTAAGCTCGCAAACAGAAGTATCTATAAAGAAACGTTTAGGATCTGTTGGACGGCCTGCGTTGTCTTACCTATCTAAAATACATCGATCACAGAGGAAAGAAGCCTCAGATCTAGCAACATTCAAGGCAGGCAATGTAAGGCTGATAATTCAAGCTGCAAGTGCAGCTGCTCGCAAACGCACCCAACCTGACCTTGCATAGGTGTTGAAATTGTAAGTTTTATCGCCGGAGAAAGCAAAATCCATTCGAAAAGTTTCAAGTCAGCCTATTGCAAAGCCAACAAAGGTTTCTGCTAACTAGGCTTTAACTCTTCTTTTAGATCAGGGCCTAACAAAACAGCAATATGTCGCAGTCAGAGAGCAAACTAAAAACAACATATATCCGCTGTGCAAGGAGGTAGCTGATCAGAAGAAAAGTTGCCGGCCCTCTGAACTGCAAATTTCCGAGACAAAGGCAGAGGTACCTCTACAAAACCTACTCGATCACATAGCAGCTCGCATTGCATCCTTCTAAAAGAGGTATTTCTGAGCATAATGAAAGAGCAAGGCACTGATTTTTTAGCAGCAGATTTGATTCTGAGCTATCGGTTTGATGGCAGCTCTGGGCAGTCAAACTACAAGCAAGGATACTCATCAGAGCAATCCTTTACTGCTGACTCGAATATTTTCGCTACTACAGTAACGCCATTGATACTTATTGATGCCTCTAGTAACATATTGTGGAACAATAAGACACCTCAGTCTATTCGCTTTGTGCCGAGTCGCGGAACAAGATTTATAAGTCCGATCGTCTGCACCATGACAGAAAATGCTCCCGTAAATAAAATTTTACAGACGTGTTCCAAAGAGCAATGGATACGTCAGATCCCATTATTTCCAGTGTAAGCCTAAGCAGCCGATTACAAAAAAATCTGAACCTTCCAAGCGAGGTTATACAGTTACTATCTTGGGAACTCAAAAGTAGAGACGACTTGGAAGATGGTGATGTGGAAAATAATTTTGGAAGTTCATGGGATATCCAGCTCGAAAACGAGGACCACGATCAATAGGTTTGCAAAATAAATATATAAATCAAAACAAAATTTTAAACATCTATAGTTTATTACAGATTTATTTTGCTCTTTTGAACTCTTTGTGAATTTGCTCAGGAAAACGTTCTTCAAAATAAACAAAATGCAATTTTCAGTAAAAAAACGGTACTTTACAAATCTAGTCACAATACAAAAAATTTTGTTATGCTCAATACTAACCAAAAATAATTTTTTTTTTTAAGGCGTGACCACGTTTTTTTTTTGTTAAAATATATTCCTTTTTTTATTATTAACCAAATTCTAAGAACAGATCCCAAAAATATTGCTAAGTTTTTAAGTTATTAATTAATGCCGCAAAAAGTGGTCATAGTGCAATGTTCTTCCAAATAGGCTCTAGAAGCTTATTTATTATATTTAAATACGCAGTTAACGCTTTTCGTCGGGTCTGTTTTTCAGCGCGGTACTCAGATGAGCTAAGGAAATACCGGAAAAAATACAAGATCTTGCGAGTGAACTATCGATGAACGTCTTTAGCCGCGGCCCAAAGAATAAAGCCTAGTACTCAGATCGGCTAAGAGTTTTACTAGTCGAAAAATCTTATTCTTTGTAGTGTGGCCGAAGTTTTCAAAGTTCACCCGCAATGCATGTATTATGGTCTTACTGTCAAGCAGCTGGGTTTATTGCCAAACGGAAAGCAAATCAATTGGACAAATTTAGAGAGGAGGAGTCCGCTGGTACACAAAGAAATTTAAATAAAAATAAATGGAATGTTCAACGAATGTTTTCATTTATGTAAATTAGTAGTTTAAAGCTTCCTTCTCGTCCCACGGATGCTTCGCCATCTTTCCCGCTTCACCGCAGTCCAGCTCCAAGTCCCAATAGGCTTATTGGACCTTGAGGAAGTGGGAGCCGGATTGGGAACGGGGTTGATCCGCTGATGCTGCAGGAAGTCGCCCAGAATCCTGGCAGTGGCTGGCAATGGCTTTTCCAACTGTTCCTTTGCGGGCGCCTCCTCCCTATAGAAGCCAGCGGGTCCTCCAGCTACGCTTATGCTGCCAAATAGCTGGTGGTGGTGGTGTCCGGAGTCCTAATGGAGAAGTCGTCGGCGATCGTATAACTGGTGGTTCTGCTAAAATAATACTTCTATTAGTACAACGCAACCAAATTCTTTTGGCCAGATCTTACTTTCATTGCGAGGACGCGCCCGGCAGGATGTCTATGTAGAGATCGAAGTCCCACTTGGCATGTTCCTTCCCACTGGGATTCTCTAGTGGATGTCCTCCAGCACTTCAACTAGTCTGCGAATTTGCCCCTTTTGTGGAATTGATTCCTGTCGGTGAAATCCCTCAATAAAGAGCATAAGCTTGGATTTGGCGTCCTATTTCATCTGCACTGACCTCCTGCATCCGCTTTTGGGGTTTTCCTTCCATTTTTAATTTTTAGTTTCCACATCGCCTTAACACGAACACCGCCAAACATTACATTAACACACATTTTTTAGTCTATTTGTTGTATTGCTTCTCTTTCGTGGCGCTAGCAGAAACAAAGGCAGGTGCAGAAAAATGATATCGAAAAGCGCTGCCAGCGCTAAGAGAAAGCAGAATGTTTCTTGCTCTTTGCATTTTCTCTCTTTTTACAGACCTGCAGTTCATTCACATGCGCCAAAAAGAGACAAGACGTTTACCCATTGTTGGAAGGCACTAGAGTGCAGAAATAGGACCGAAAGTCCGCACACGTAAAATTGGCGGGTATAAACTTTACAGCGCTGTAAATCTTTCTGTTAGTATATGACTAGCTCTCGAAAGGCAGAACTTTTGCCCGTGTTCAAATTTTGATTTTTTGCGATTTTTCCAAGTATCTTCCAGGTTTAAGGCGGTCATCTTAATGTTAACAAAGCTCAATCAATGTTCAATTTAAAAGCTGAATAACGAGGTATCTGGAAGTCGACACACTCGACTTTAGCGTTTTCTCTGGGTTTAGCTATAGTAGACATTGGGTTGACATTCAACATCATAAGCTAAGCAGCTTGCGACTAAAATATCAAAATGACTTTGCCTGGAGGAAAGTGCCAGCTTAACTACGCGCGAGAACGCATGTGGGAACCCGGCTACCTCAAGGTAAATTGTATTTAATTTGTAGATTTTTTTCAATTAAAATAAATTCAATCTTTAGGCCAAATGTGCAGAGTTGGGCTTGGAAAACGAGTTGCGATTGTACCGAATACGCCTTTGGAAGAGTTACCTATTCTCTTTCTTTGTTCTGCACATTTTCGTCACCACTGTGCATTGTACGCTGCTGTTAACAACCATTGAGGTAAGTTACCTGAAATGGAATTCCTTTGAAATTGTAGCCATTTTAGATTGAAATTCAAAATTAAACACAAACAAGAAAGGAAGTTAGCTTCGGCAAGCCGAAGTTTTTATACCCTTGCAGTTATAATTATTAATTTTTAAAATACAAAAAATGATATTCCCAATAGTATAAGATAATATGTCAAAAAACACCGAAGCTATATTTTGTTTCATATTATTTTCCCACCAATTTTCCGATCGTTCCAATGGCAGCTATAAGATATAGTCGTCCGATTTTGAAAAAATTAAATTCGAAATTGAAAACTAATTAGAAAATGTTATTTCCAAGCGTAGGAGGTTATATAAAACACCGAAGCTATAATTTGTTTCATATTATTTTCCCACCAATTTTCCGATCGTTCCTATGGCGACTATAAGATATAGTCGTCCGATTTTGATAAATTAAATTCGAAATTCAAAACTAATTCAAAAATGTATGTTAAAAAACACCGAAGTATAATTTGTTTCATATTATTTTCACACCAATTTTTCGATCGTTCCTATGGCAGCTATATGATATAGTCGTCCGATATTAATAAAATTTAATTCGAAATTCAAAACTAATTAAAAAATTTTGTTTTTAACCTTGGGAGGTTATATGCTAAAAAACACCAAAGATATAATTTTTCTTAGTATTTTTTTTCGATTATTCCTATGGGAGCTATAAGATATAGTTGTCCGATACGGCAGGTTCCGACTTATAAACTACCTACACAAGAAATAAGACTTTTGGGAAAGTTTCAGCCCGATAGCTTTAAAGCTGAGAGACTAGTTTGCGTAGAAACGGACGGACAGACGGACATGGCTAGATCGACTAGTCATGCTGATCAAGAATATATATACTTTATGGGGTCGGAAATGTCTCCTTCACTGCGTTGCAAACTTCTGACTGAAATCAATATACCCAATATGCCCAGCACTGAACGGTTTGGAGTCAGCTTATGAACAATTGTTCTGAAATTGTGAGCACTGTTCAAAAACCATTTTTTGGGAGGAGCACCTGTTGAACTAATAAGCTTTTTATTAGTTATTGCTAAATTAAAATACGACATTTCGGGTTGCTTTATGCTTGTTAACAAATTATTAGCGAGACGAGAGTGCGTGTAATGTCGAAATCAGAATTCGGAGAGCTAGATAGAGAGTGATACCTTTCGCAATGCAATTAATATAAGAGATCGAATTAAGACGTTAATTAGCTGCTGCGGCTGCGTGACCCGACAGCACCGTTCATACAAACGTACACAAAAAATGAATGCCATGTTCGCGTAACAAATTTGCGCTGCTTACGAAGACAAGGAATCTAAATCAGAAATCACAACCTTCCAGCATTTATAGTTTCGATTCCTCCCTGTACCCAAAGTTTAAACTTTCAGCTACAGTGTAAAATATATAAAGAACATTTGAAAGAAATTTTACATGAGCGGATCCACGGATCTTAAACTCATAAAAATGTTCCGGTTCGCGAGCCGAAAAGTATAGTTAAAATTATATTTTTGATCATGATCACAAGTCGAGATAGGTACAAAAAATGTTTTAAGACGGATCATTCATTAAAAAGTGAAAGCAATGTATGAAATGGCCACTAGTTGTAAATTGTTTGCATTTTTCATCTGCCCCGCTCTCCCTTTAACTGAGTAACGGGTATCTGTTAATTACTATTACTTTTCTCTTGTTTTAATTTTGATTGACTACCTAACGAATATCTGACAGTCGGGGGACTATACTAAAGTGCTTTTAAAGCCTTGCAGAGGGTATAATGATTTCAGACAGAAGTTTGCAACGCAGTGAATGAAACGTTTCGGACCTCATAAAGTATATATATTCTTGATCAGCAGACGAGTCGATCTAGCCATGTCCGTCTGTCCGTTTCTACGCAAACTAGTCTCTCAGTTATAAAGCTATCGGTATGAAACTTTCCCAAAAGTCATATTTCTGTTGCAGGTAGTATATAAGTCGGAACGAGCCGGATCGGACAACTATGTACTATAGCTCCCATAGAAGTGATAAAAAAAAATTTTTTTTTTTTTTAAATGTACAAAATATTATAACTCCAGTGTTTGTTGGCATATTAACTTTTAAATTTGGGGAAACAATTCTTTTAATATTTCAGAATTTGTAATAAAATTTTTAAAAAATCGACCTGAAAAATTATCTTAATATTTCTGTAATTAGTTTTCTAAAAATTGGAAAGCTCTGAACACACAACGCTCCCACGGGAAAGATCTTCAAAGGTATATAAACTTCGGCTTGCCAAAGCTACCTTTCTTTCTTGTTTTTTTCGCTTCAAAGAGGTGATCTATTTTTATAAAAATAGTATTTACTTTTTAAGCACCGGTCGATTGTCCAGTTTGATGTGTCCCTCACCACAGGAAGTTCCGTTGTTCTTTTACTAGTACTGAGTGTTAATTTCTGCGATGGCTTTATTGCGAAACACACTTGGTATATGTTTTGCAGCTCGATGGTTGCCTCCCTTATTTTGGTATTCGCTGGTAAGCCTAAATCATCTATTTCCAATTACACATATTAGTAATGTTCCTAACAGATCTAACTGAATCTATTTACCACCACTATGTTCACAACTGGCAGCTGGGGACGTTCTACGACACCTACATCGTATACATGATATACATCTTCCTGCCGATCCACTTCTTGAGCGGTGCCGTCCTGCTTGCAGTGCTAGTGTCAGTCCTGTACATTATCTACTACGTGCAAATCCTGTCCGACGGGTTCATCCAATTCGTGTCCCAACTGTTTTCCACCGGCGGAATGTCCGTGGACTTGGTGCACTACCTGTGCCTCAATCTGGTGGGCATATTCTACCGCGTGATAAACGACACAATAGTGCGCTCATCCTTCCTGGACCGGCACCAGTACATCAAGGAGGAGCTCTGGCTGCGCAACGCCCGAATCCAGGAGAAGCAGTTGCTGGACTCCATCCTGCCGCCGCAGATCTCGGAGCCCTTGCAAAAGGACATTCAGAACCGGATTATCCTGACCAAGCGCGGCGTCGGGATTCGTTCCTTGAGTGCCTTGGAGCGTGCCATGGCCATCCAGATCCATCCCGATGTCTCCATCTTGTACGCAGATGTGGTGAACTACACCCACTTGACCACTACATTGACGGTGGAGAAGTTGGTAAAGGTCCTGCACGACCTCTACGGAAGATTCGATTTGGCTGCTTTTCGCTACAAGGTGCAGCGCATCAAGTTCCTGGGCGACTGTTACTACTGTGTGGCGGGTTTGTCAGACCCCGATCCCGACCACGCGAACAGATGTGTGGCCCTAGGCCTTTCCATGATCGACGAAATCACGGAAGTACGGTAAGTAACCTTATATATCCTAAAGACCCTTTTCTGTACGAACGGTATTAAAATCTTAAGCATGAAATCGTTCTTAAATCAAGACTGTTTGTACTTGATTTTAGCACGATGTTTTTCCCTGAGTGTACTTACTCCCAAGTATTTTTATTCTTTGTTATCCTTTTTTAGTGACTCGCAAAACTTGGACATAAATATGCGCATTGGAGTTCATTCGGGGAACCTGTTTGCCGGAGTTATTGGCGAAGCCAAACTTCAGTTTGACATATGGGGTGAGAAGGCAATTTCGCGCGACGTTAATTCGCTGGTAACCTATTTATATTTCTCAAATTTTTGTAGGACTGGACGTCACTATTGCCAATGTTCTGGAATCCACCGGAGTGGCGGGATTCGTGCACATCAGTGGTGCAACTTTGAATAATCTGAGCGAACAGCGCTACGTTATTGAAGATGGTCCCGAAATGGCACGGAATCATCCACTTCTGAGTAGATACCGAATAAGTACATACATAGTTCGACAAGACTTGCAAGAAGATCAGGATGAAAGTGACGAGGATTTTGATGAACTGCATGCTGTCTCCCTCTTTAATGTAGGGTCAAGGCAGAGACTGAGTAATAATGCTAATGAAAGCCTGAGAGCGATTTTTAATGCAGAGTTAAGGGAAGAGTTCCGGAATATGCCAGTCAGTGCATTTAAGTAAGTATTAAGAGAAAACAAAATCCTTGGATTGAGGAAACTGTCTTAAAATTCAGGGCTAAATAGACAGGGCAAAATGCTTTCAACCCTTTTGACCCCTAAGTCATGATAATGTCATTAAATATATTTTCGATAGACCAGTTTTATTCAAAGATCCTTTAACTCTAAGCTCTTTAGAATTATACTATTAGAGGTTCTATGTTTTAAAAGATACTTAAAATTAATCATTTTCATATTTTTAAATTTTTGTGAGCTTTGTAAAACTTTGCAAGCAGAAATAGTTTTGTTTTGTTATTGGTGCTTTGCAAGAATAACAAGAAACGCTATAGTCGAGTGCCTCGGCTATATACTACTGTAGGCAACAAGTATGGATTTTTTTTTTTTTTCGTGGTGTGGTACACTATAAATTCCTTCCACCTGGCCAAACGGTTAATAAGGAGTATTATTTGAGCGTTATGCTTCGTTTGCGTGAATCAATTCGTCTAAAAGGACAATAAATATGGGCAACAAAAACTCTTGGCTTTGGCATCACGATAATGAACCGTGCCATAAGTGTATTTTATCGGGAAGGGATTACTTATAATGGATAAAATTTATTTAAATTAAATAAAGATTTATCATTTTACAGACAAATTCACCTTACTTTTTGCTCACATTAGTATAAATGTTATAGGGTCAGATACTCTAACATCTACCTGTTGGGCTGAAATAATAGTATTTTATTATTCCAGCAATAAGTTTCCATTATTAAACAATATTAGATTTTTTTGCTATTCTCATTTATTTTCACTGATGTTAAGCCATTTTCGCTGGCATCCATAACATCGATGGTTACTTGGTTATTTTCCAACGTCATGGGATAACATCAGTCTAAAGCAACACAGTGCATGAGACATTTCCTACTCGGCTAGTGAACATAACAAATAATTTAAATGTAAAGTAAAAAGAGTCATTATATCTTCCTATTAAATATTTTTCCACGAATATATTAATCATTGCTAAACTAAGAAAAATTAACTTAATAAGGGCACACAATTTATTACAAAAAGTCGTAATTCAATTCTTTTCAATTAAATACAGATTGCACTCGTATCCCCCTCTCATTGTTTTTTTATTCCATAAGAAGTAATATAAAATAATAAAAGCATATATATTTATGTAATTTCCCACTCCTGTAACACAGCCCTAAAACCTTGTACGGCATCTATAGACGAAGAGGAGTAAAGGTCCCATTGTATCACCAGTTAAACTTATGCCTGAAATACCTCGACCCCGATGTGGAGAGAGCATACCTGAAGCAAACCGACTACCTATTCAAGTACAGCATGCTTCTGTCCTTGTGCGTTGGATACTGTCTGGTGTACATTGAACTAATGGACACTAAAATTATTTGCCCTACTTGCATGATTTTGCCCGCCATCGTGACTGTAGTACAGACCATTTTGACCTTTATAACGTGGTACAAAAAGATTTGCTGGACCAGGTTTGGCAACCAGCCCCATAACTACAGCCGAATTAGCTGCATTATATTTCGGGTTCACGAGAAAATCATAGGCAGTATGATGATTCGCATAACCATTTACCTCTTTCTAGTGATATCGGGGTTTTCCGTGATGTGTCTCATTGTAGTGAGTATTCTTAGAGACCAAAAAGTTCAGCAAAATTTAATTGACTTATCAGATGTCCTGTAATCGCGAAGAGTTCGAGTTGGCCTTTATAGAGGAAAGGCTCTTTCACTATGAGCAAGAGACAAAGATATGCTTTCATCCCTGGGTTGCAACCAACATGGTCTCCCTGATGATTTGTCAGACTTTCACATTCGCCAGTATTCCGATCGTGGTGAAGACTATAATGGCCATTTTGGAGACGATCGGCTACTTGGTGATAATTTTCTTCGAGTTTGAGTTCGTCTTTCATCACAGCGTGACGACGAACCCCAGTTTTCCCGCAGAGTACGCACACGCTCTGCTAATATGCATTACCCTGCTAACTATGGTTGTGAAGGAGCGCCAACTAGAGTTCACCAACAAAGTAAACTTCCAGTGAGTTCGGAGGACCTAAACTAAAAATATTTGCTTTGATGTGTATTATTATCCTGATTTCTTTAGCTGGCGCGTTGAGTTAAGGAAGAAGGAAGCTGACGCCAATTTAACCAATCACTCCATTATTATTATCCTTAACAACATTCTTCCCGCCCACATCGGTGAGTCCCAAAACGGTTTAAAATCCCAAACTAAAATTAATTATCTCCTCTATCTTGCAGTCGACGTTTACATTAATTCGATGGCCAAGCACGAACTCTACTATGAAAATTATCAAATGGTTTCGGTTATGTTTGCCATGTTAATAAATTTTGAAATGGATCTAAGAAGCTTGCGTATACTAAATGAAATTATTGCCGAATTTGATATGTTGGTAAGGTAAAGGATCATACTATTATATTATATAATATTTAATTTCAATGCTTTGATACAGTTACTGTTCTACAAGGAATATTATTCGGTTGAGAAGATCAAAGTCGTCGGATGCACATATATGGCTGCCTGTGGACTAAACCTGAACTTTGCTGGTACCACCAGCAAAACAATGAAGGATAACCCGAGCGCGACTGGTAAGTGTTAAACCAAATGATGACTTAGTTACAAATCCTTTGCGTTTCAGAGGCCACCGAAGGGAGTAATGTTCGGTTTTTGTTCGAGCAAGATTTAAAAGACCGCGAGGAAGTGGTCTTTGTGATGGCTTCATATGCCCTGGATATGATGCGCACGCTGGCCAAATGTAATCAGGCGTACCAAAGTATTCCGGGTGATCGGAATATTCTGGACGGGTCGATAGCCATCGGCATTTCCAGCGGGGAGGTTATGGCTGGTATAGTGGGCGCATCGCATCCGCACTACGATATCTGGGGCAATCCAGTCAACATGGCCTCAAGGATGGAGTCGACGGGACTACCGGGCAATATCCACGTGACGGAGGAGTCCGCGAGAATTCTCCACGAATTCGGCATTGTCTGCAAATATCGCGGCTTGACTTTCGTGAAAGGGCGTGGCGAAATCCCGACATTTTTAGTGGGAATTGATGACAACCTAAACTTTATCACTACAGAGCCCAAACGAGCTCCCAGTCATGTTGAGCGCAGTTCAGTTGTATCATTGCAAACCACCTTTTCTAACCCAAATAATGTAGATGCTCTTGCTAACATTTCCAGACACACACTACATGATTTTTAAATGGTCTTTTAATAACTTTTTAAATTCCACTTATGGTTTCTAATTTTTTGTTTCTTGATACAAGCCAAAAATAAGGAAATACAATTTATTGTTTGTTAACGGTTGCAGTCTTTAATAAACTCACATCTTTAGGCCATAATGCCATCTCTATTCTATGTAACAGAAAACCATGGCAACGCTGCTACGACGACGTCTTTGTGAAATTTAACTCAGTTTCCAATAGGCTTCGCAACTGGCAAGAATAAAATTAAATACAGTCCACACAACTCAATCTTTTATATTTCTGACCATATTGCTGGTCCATCGTTCCGAATTCTTGGAGAGTTTTGAAGTGCTTTGACTCTCAGAATAATTGTTTACAACGAAACAATTAAAGTCATTACTGAAAAGCCGTCCCAGACCGAAGTCCAACATCACACGTGTCTTGCCATGGGCTGAACAAACGGAGAGTGCTAGACAGAAAGAGATCGTCACACGAATAGAGCTCCTAAACGGTCAGCGAATGTATTGTTCTTCACAAGGAAGTGGAAGGTTATGTCGACCCGGAGATCGACAATGCGGTCTACGAAGCAAAACACCTAAGGGCAACGCTACACTCAAGGAAAGTAATGATCTACATCCGGGGACATCTGCGAGCAGTGCGAGTGGCAGCAACGGGCTTCATTCAAATAACGATGCAATCCTATACTTGCTGTAACAAAACCAATAACTATTTGCTGTTATTCAGAGCACAACGAATGTTGGTGCTTATGTCACACTTGCGAATTCTAACTCGGTACTCACTGCGATTTTAAATCTAAGCGAATTGCCGAAAATTCAAATCAAACGGTTCTCTAGCAACTACACATAGTGGCAAGACATAAGACACAAGAAATATATGAAAGCACAATTCATAACAAACAGCATTTGTTCAACACCCTGAAGTTCCTTCACTTGAAAACACTTCTCGTTGATGAGGCGCCAACTTGGTATGACACTTGGCCATTACGAACACGGCGTACAACACTGCATGGGATCGTCTTAAGGAAAGATACAATCGTTCTCGGCACATTGTAAACTCGTATTTTGAGCAGTTTATGAGCCTGTCAACAACTACACAGATCAATGAAACAGTTCTACAGAAGGTCGGAGACGAAGCAAACGAAATTGTTCGTGGATTGGATCCTGTGAATCAGACGGGACTGCAATTGTTGGATCATCCAGAAGCCATACAGAAACTTAACGCTGCCTTACAGCGCAGGTGAATTGAGCGTAGCATGGAGACAGATCCACCCACATTGGAGGAGTTCTTTAAGTTACTCCATTCTCGCTGCGAAGAACTGGAGCTTGCGACTGGAAGCAAGGCAACAACACATCCTGAAAAGCCAAAAAGGATCACACAATCGATGGCTGCGGTTGAAAGCAGTGGCTGCACCAAATGCAGTTCTACAGAACGCACTTTATATGGCTGTCAGCAGTTTCTGGATATGTCTGGGGTGCAGAGGCGATCATTTGAAAAGGAGAAATCAAATCATGATCAAATCATCACTCCCTCCTTCATGTCCAACCAAATCCATAGGCTGTTGGGAACCTTGCAGAGGATGAGCGAAACTTAGCGAGTCGAACAACAACTCAGTGACACTCAGTAATTTGGCCCAAGGAGAGGGCACTTAAAAAGTTGTATGTACACAAGGCACTGAAAAATCTACACAACTAACAGAAATTAAATAAATCATATTACCAACTACTTGGTGTACGTTGAAAACGCAAAGGAGACACAGGATCATAGCTGTCTTATGTATCGGAGCGGTGCATCCAAGCTCTTGGATTGACACGGTTGGCATCACGCATCTTGGTTACGGGAATCTCCTCGGTAAAAGCAGACACGACAAGGGGATGCAGCACGCTGCATATAAAGTCTCGCATATACGATGATCGTTTGGTTGTCTCTTTTCAAGTGCTAGGCAGAAGCACCTCATCTCTGGAACGCCAAAATCTCGACGCATCGACACTCGATGTTTTTTTTAGGATCGGCAGTTGCCGGATACACATTTCAACGCAAACACACCAGTTCACAGGACAAAAGATGTACGAAAACAAGGGTAATCTTATTGCCATTTTGTCGGTATTCGGATGGGCTATAACTTTACTCATCACTTCGAATGCAAGCAACGCTATTGCACATAGCACAATATAGTCGATACTACACGCTTCAAACTAACTCAAAATTGGAACCGGAAGTCGAACTGGTCGAGAAGCACTTTGTCGCCACCCACAGTCGCGATAAAAAAGGGGAAGTAGTTGAACTTCCATTTATTCATTCAAACGTTTCAAATCGGTGGAGCGATGACTACAACTAAACGAGTACGTATACGGGAGTATATCAATTTGGGGCACATGCGTGAGGTGCCGCCAGAGGAAATCGCTACTGGGAATCAGATCTTTCTTCACCACCACCCAGTACTAGGCCGAAAATTGCGAGGGGTTTTTGATGGGTCCTTTCGCGATGCTAATGGTAGGGCGTTAAATGATACTATTTTCACAGGGCCCAGTATCCAAAGCGATCTCTTTGCTGTGTGCCCACGCTTTCGAATGTACAATTTCGCATTCTCATCGGACATCGTTAAAATGTTCCGCCAAATATGGGTTAACGAAAGCCACAAAAACTATCAGAAGATCGTTTGGAGAGAGGATCCGTCCGATCCGATCAAGCATTTCCAATTGTGCACTATATCCTATGGAATGTCATGTGCACCATTCCTGGAAGCAAGAGTGATGGAACAACTCGCTGTGGATCATCAAGAGGAATACCCGAATGCTTCAAAAGTCCTACTGGAGGATTGTAATCCAGTTTAAGATTATTTCCCAAAAACGTTGGCTCTTAAACTTGGATTGGGATGTGGTGTACAGCAAAGATTCAAGTGACGATGGATCCATCTCGGTGTCCCTCGTGGCTGCGAAAACAAGGGTGCCAACACTGAAACAGGAATCCTTCCCACGCCTGGAACTTTGAGCAGCACATCTTCTAAACCATCTTATTCGCTCGATCTCTTCTGGATTACGCCACAAGAACATACCGGGTTTTGCCTGGTTCGACTCATCAATAGAGCTCTTCTGGTTGTCCTATGCCCAACTACAGACTTCGGAAATCATTGACACTATTCCTAGGAAGGCTGGCGTCACGTAGACTCCAAATCAAATCCAGCTGACTGTGCTTTCAGGGGTCTGATGGCTGCGTCAGTTTGTGGTGGATCGGAGCATTATGGTTTCGGGACAAGGATCAATACCTGGCAGAGTTGAACGACTCACGATTCGCCTTATGTCTTTCAGACAAACGCATTCAAGGAGAAATCAAATCCAACTATTGGGCTACATTGGTTGTTTCAACTCAGGTTCATTCACTCGATGAGCTGATCGCACGCGTTTCTGTTTGGCTCAAGCTCGTTCACATTGTCGCCTATGTGAAGCGATTCATTCAACGTAGACCATCCAGCGACAAGGCCTCAAGAACTCTAACATTTGGAGAGGTTAGGGCAGCAAGGACTTTTTGCATGAGACACGTGCAACGCTGTGTCCAAGTCCACTATCAATTGCTCCTCTCTAAGAAACCCTTAAGGAACCGATCGCAGCTGGTCAAACTAGCAGCAATGATCGACGAAATCGATTTGCTGAGGGTAGGCAGACGACTGCACCAATCGTAATTGTCACGAGAGGCAAAACACCAAGTTTTGCTACCAAAACGCATAGAATCTCGTAGCTGATCCTGGAACACGAGCACTGAGTAAACCTTCACCCGGGCGTTACCTCCCTGTTTGTAAGCGATCGGCAGAGATTCTGGATAATTGAAGCACGTAATCTTTTACGTAGAATTATACGCGACTTTTTATCCTGCTTTCGTCATCGCAACCACACCTCCCAGGCTACATTTGTCTGTTTGTCTGCATGGTCACTTCGGCCATACACCTGGAACTTGCCCATAACCTGACATTAGAAACCTTCTTGGCTGCCTTGCGACGCTTCATATCCCTACGTGGCAAGCGTATCAAGATCTACAGTGACAACGGATCCCTAGACGAAGTGCAAGAATTGCTTTCACCACAACAACATAAGGACATCGTTACGTCCATCCTGGCGGATGATGGAGTTCGGTGTGTACTCATTCCTCCGAAAGCACCTCATTGAGGAGGGAAATCTCCGCCGAATCAACGCTAGCCTTTGAACCTTGCTTGCTCAAATCAGCGAAGTGATAAGCCACGTCCCTGTGGCCGATTAGGGTATTGTCAAAGGGTCCAGGCTCTGCTTGAAGGATTTTGGACGAAATGGCATCAGGAATATCTGAATACTCTGCAACTTCCGCTGAAAGGAAACGGAAGATCGTTTACCCAGTGTAGCAAAGATCTAGAAGATAGTAAACGGACCGAAAATCCGTGCATGTAAATTTGACGGGTAAAAACTTTACAGCGCTATAAATCTTCCTGTTTTCTCATTAGTCTACGACTAACTATCGTATGGCGAAACTTTTGCGCGTGTGCCTAATGCGATATTTTGAGAATTTTTCAAGTGCCCTTCAATTTTAAATCGGTCATCTTAAAGTAAATTAAGCGTTATTACTTTTCAATTTAAGAGCTGAGTAACGGGTATCTAATAATCGAGACGCTCGACTATATAGTTGTCTCTTGTTTTTAACAAAAACGTGTGGTGAAACATAAAGCAAGCTTTTTCATCACCTTCAATTCGAATTATTTTACTTAGAAAACGAAGAATAACAATGAACCTTAATCAAAGACAATCGACCAAGGCCCCGTTTAAAAACAGAAGGCTAAGACCATGTCATCTTGACTACGCTGATGAACGTCTTTGGGAACTGACTTATTTGAGGGTAAACTTATTTTCCACCCTTGTTTGGTTTATAAACGTATGTATTATCCATAGGCCAAATGCAAGGAGCTGAAATTGGAGGAGGAGTACAGGAAGTATCAGATCCGCCTGATGATCAGTAATCTGTCCGTTTTCTATGTTTTGTTTATTCTTGTATGTGTTAGTTTTCTAGCAGTTGAACTGATTTTCGTAACGGTGAGATTTTACGTTTTACCGACTAAGTCAAATTTCGCTAAATTAACTTTTATGCAGAACTTAAAAGGCATCTACTTTGATTTAATTACCAGGCAATTGTCGTTTACCGTAGTACTAATTATACTAAGCGTCAATTTTTGCGAAAACTTTGTAACTCGCCACCGGTGGGTCATGATTTTCACCTCTGTTTTGTCTGCATATGTTGTGGTAGCTATGGGTAAGAGATATAATTATAGATCGACACCGTTGGACTTATAAGATATTACTTTTCAGATATAACGCAGAATTTGTTTCATTATTTCACGGGCGGCTGGCCCCTTAATGCCACATTTGACGTCTTCGTGCTCTGCATGATCTACATGTTTATGCCAATACCCTCAATTAGGGGAGCAGCCCTACTCGCCACCTCAGTCAGCCTCGTTTACGTATCCTATTACATGTACTCACTCTCATTTACCAGAGTGTTCGTCGAGCGCAGAGCTCACGCCTACGATATACTATCCGTTGATATTTTACACAACGTGGGCTTCAACATGATGGGTATATTTTTCCGAATCATGAACGAGACTATGGTTCGTGCCTCCTTCCTGGACCGCCACCAGTTCATAGTGGAGGAGAAGTGGTTGCGCCACGCCCTGCAACAGGAGTCTATGCTTCTGGACAGCATCCTGCCTCCCCAGATAGCGAAACCCATCCAGGACAGCATCAAGAACAAGATCAAGCAAAACGATAACGAGTTCGACCGCTTCAGCGCGAGAGGTGTCTGGAGAAGGGAAACCTTTATGGCCATCCAGATCCATCCCGATGTCTCCATCCTCTACGCAGATGTGGTGAACTACACCCACTTGACAACGACACTGACGGTGGAGAACCTAGTGAAGGTCCTGCACGATCTGTATGGCAGATTCGATATGGCTGCCTCTACTTTCAATGTGCAGCGCATCAAGTTCCTGGGTGATTGCTACTATTGTGTGGCGGGACTAACGACGCCCGATCCAGATCACGCGAAATGTGCCGTGTCCTTGGGCATTTCCATGATTGCCAACATCCAGGAAGTGCGGTATTGCCCTTGGGACTAGGATTTAATTAAGTACTAAGCTGCCCAACTCACCCACAGGGCTGAACGTAAATTGGACATCGACATGCGCATAGGAGTACATTCAGGATCACTTATTGCAGGCGTTATCGGCGAGGCGAAGCTGCAGTATGATATATGGGGTACTTCAATCATCACAGGATTTTTCCTGCGAAGTAAATAATGATTTTTTCAGGTGCTGACGTTGAGATCGCTAATCGACTGGAGGCTACTGGAAGACCGGGATTCGTACACATTAGTGGACGGACCTTAAGTAACTTGAACCTTGCTAATTATACAATAATGTCGGGTTCAGAAAAAGCACGAAATGATCCGTTGCTCAATTCAATGAGTACCTATCTAATAACTGGTCACATAAACCGTAGTTCAATCGCATCCACTATGGAAGGAGTTTTATCCGGATCGAGTCTTGACATTAAACCTGTAGACACTGTACGATCGAACAGAGCAAGTCGCACTTCATTGACTGAAGAGTTGCGCGAAGAGTTCCGGAATATGCCAGTTGGGGGCTTCGAGTAAGTGAATATTGACCGATTGGCCTTGCATGGTCTTTTGTACACCATGTTCGAAACGGAATGGAAAAGTACCAAAATTGTTATTCGATTGTATTTAATTATTATTATTATTTAACTAAATGTAAAGTTAATGAAGTTTATACTATAACCACTATAACTATATATTTACGACTACTAACCGATTTTTTCACTGTAGCTTTCATTCACCTTGCTGCCGTCAAGCTGGTAATGACACCCATAAGAAAACGGAGCGCGAAATCGGGCTTTTTTGTGCGGCGTTCAAGGACAAATCTCTGGAATGGAATTATATGCACCAACCCGACTTCATCTTTAAGTCCTCGGTGCTACTGGCCTGGGGAATCGGGTGCTGCCTGATCTACATCCAGATAGTGACTAACAATTTTTCTTGCCCTGTTTGCATTGTGGTCGACTTGATTACGTTTTTATTTCTGACTTCTCTGCTCTGCATATCGTGGTACAAGAAATTATGTTGGTGGAAAAGTGGACGCTATGCATTTAAAATGCATGGTGAATACAGCTGCATGGTTTTTCACCTGTTTGAGAAGATCCAACATAGTGTGACCCTGCGCATTGGCACCTATTTGCTGATCATAATTTCCTACTACGCGGTGATCTCCCTGATAATGGTAAGTCTTAATCACCTTCCGAGTCGAACTAGCCATGTCCTTCTGGCCATTTGTTCGTTTGTCCCTATTAACGATAAGATCTCGAAAACCATAAAAGATAGCAAGTTGGGATTGGGCATGAAGATTCTAGAGATTTCTGCGCAGCGCAAATTTGTTTCAGCAGGGTGCCACGCAAAGCCCGCAAAAGCCCATGACGCTAAAACCCGACTATCGCCTGCATTTTTAAAGATTTTGTATTGGTGTATAAGGAATCGACGCTAGGTGGCGCAATCTTGTATATCTCGTTTTGCTGCTTTTATATCTCCATCTCCCTCGCACTCCCCTTAGCTAAGTAACGGGAATCTAATAGTCGAGGCACTCGACTATAGCGTTCTTCCTTGTTTGTTTAGAATAACTTATTTGTTAAAAATGTCAAGATATGTACTCTAAAGTAAATTGTATTTTATGATTACATGCAGATAAACTGTGACCGCGACATGTATGAGCTGAGTTACATCGAGAGCAAGCTCTTTCACTACGAAATGGATCCGGATATCTGCTTCCATCCGTGGTCCTTTACCAACATGATTTCCCTGATCCTTGGCATAAGCTATACCTTCGCGCGCATCCCATTCGCCCTCAAGATATTCGTTAGCTGCTGCGAAACCGTCGCCTTCGTCTTGATCGTGTTTTTCCAGTTCGCGTTCATTTTCCAGCACAGTGCTACCACGACCCCGTTTATGAGAGCTGAAATAGCGCACTGTCTTCGGGTGTGCATGATGTTAGCCACCATGTATGCAAAGGAGCGGCAGTCCGAATTTAACACAAAAATGAACTACAAGTGAGTATTATACCTACAAGTTTGTGTACGAGCGCAACGCCAAGAACAAATGCTCTCTAACTAACTATCAACTGAATCTTCTTCCTGTTAATAGGCTCAACGTGGATTTGCAAAACAAGCAAAAGGCGGCCGACGTTACAAACCAATCAATAATAATTCTGCTCAATAACATTCTTCCCTCTCATGTTGGTCAGTGTTTTTTACATTTTTTATTAGTCGTTTGACATGAATTATTCATCTTTTTTCCGCAGTCGACCTATATCTTAATTCGTTAGCCAAACACGAGCTCTACTATGAAAATTATCAGATGGTGTCGGTCATGTTTGCAATGTTGATCAATTTTCCAATGAATTTGCCCAGCTTACGAGTGCTCAACGATATTATAACCGAATTCGATAGACTGGTAGCTAAAGTATTGAATCTATGTACTTATTTTAGTGATCTATCTCTTCTTTCCGATCGCAGTTGACAGCCTATAGGGAATATTATGTTGTTGAGAAAATTAAAGTCGTTGGTTGCACTTACATGGCAGCATGTGGATTGGATTTCAATTTGGCCTCAAACGTCCGCCAAAGCAGTCACATTCGCCATAGCTCACTTCATATTGAGGGTAAGTCTCTGCACGAATTATACTGGTCTTTTAACCCATTTGTATTTGTTTTGAGAATTACTTTTGAAAACAGTGTTCTTCATATATTTTTATACCCGTTACTAGTAGAGTAAAAGGGTATACTAGATTCGTCGGAAAGTATGTAACAGGCAGAGGAAGCGTTTCCGACCCCATAGTGCATATATGTTCTTGATCAGGATCACTAGCCGAGTCGATCTAGCCATGTCCGTCTGTCCGTCTGTCCGGATGAACGCTGAGATCTCGGAAACTATAAGAGCTAGGCTATTGAGATTTGGCGTGCAGATTCCTGAGCTTTTTACGCAGCGCAAGTTTGTTTCAGCAGAGTGCCACGCACACTCTAACGCCCACAAACCGCCCGAAACTGTGGCTCCTACAGTTTTGATGTTAGAAAATTTTAACTGAAATGTATTGTTCTCATTAATACCTATCGATTGACAAAAAAAAAAATTTGCCACGCCCACTTCAACGCCCACAAACCGCCCACAAACCGCCCACAAACTTCCAAAGCTCGTAGATATGAACGTGGATATCTCGGAAACTATCAAAGATAGGGAGTTGGGATCTCAGATTTATATTCCGTAGCCTTGCCACGCCCACTCTAACGCCCACAAACCGACAAAACCTGTGACGCCCACTATTTTAAAACAACAAATTTTAAGGTAAAAAATTTTAACTGAAATGTATTGGTCTCGTCAATACCTATCGATTGATTAAAAAAATTTTTGCCACGCCCACTCTAACGCCCATAACGCTTAAATCTGTCTACCGCCGGTAGGTGGCGCATTTTAATCTTGCTTTACTGCTGGCATATCTCCATTTCCCGTTGGTCCCTTTAGTTGAGTAACGGGTATCTGATAGTCGAGGTACTCGACTATAGCGTTCTTCCTTGTTAAAATATATATACGTTAGAATAAACAAAATTTTACAAAATAATATTTTGAAAATGATCCAAGAAGGATGATGGTAGTTCCTGGTAGAGTTTAAAAGTCAACAATATTTTTAAAGAACATTTTTTGGGGTCTCTGTGTTTTTATTTATGTCTCGAGTTGCCCTTAACCAATTTAGGTGACATTTAAATGTATTTACAACTATTTTGCAAACTTTAATGTTGCCGAATAAATGAAAGGACACACTCAGTATATTTTTAGCTGGATCTCGAAAAATCTTGTAAGGCGTCTGTTGATATACGGTAAAAACTTTTAAATAAAAATCCGACAACTTTTCGATATGTGTAACACTTTAAAGTTACCGTTCAAACGAACCAAACAAGCCATATTTGGACGAAATCCATGGTAAAAATGGTTTACCGAAAACAGTTACAATATGAGTATTTGATTGAATAATTTTGATCGATTTTTCTATAAACGTTCAAAAAAAGTTCCACAACACTGCCTAATAATAATATATAATATTGTAAAGTCTACACACACTTCAGAAAGAGAATCAGTAAAACTTTTTAGACTTGAACCCTTTAACTAACTCTGAAAAATACAATGTGGGTCACCTTATTTACTCCTGTACAGTAGTGTACTCTGAATAGATGACAGGAAAATACAAATTCAGTAGTGTGAAAATGGTCTGACCTGGTGTCTGAAAATGGATTTGTATGGGAAATGGCTTTTTGTAAAATTTCAAATACTGTAAAGTGAGCTTTTCACCAAAAACACTGCATTCAGAATGTATTGTAGAGTGTCTGAGTGAGTGAGTACAGTAATCATAGTATTGCAGTCACAAATAGAGTTCTTTCGCATATACAATAATGAGATCCGAAAAAATTGTACATGTTTATACCCGTTACTCGTAGAGTAAAAGGGTATACTAGATTCGTCGGAAAGTATGTAACAGGCAGAAGGAAGCGTTTCCGACCCCATAAAGTATATATACTCGTATTCTTGCCATGTCCGTCTGTCCGTCTGTCCGGATGAACGCTGAGATCTCGGAAACTATAAGAGCTAGGCTATTGAGATTTGACGTGCAGATTCCTGAGCTTCTTACGCAGCGCAAGTTTGTTTCAGCACTGTGCCACGCCCACAAACCGCCCAAACCTGTGACGCCCACAGTTTTTATGCTAGATTAAAAATTTTAATTAATTAATTTTTAAATTTGCCACGCCCACTCTAACGCCCATAAGGCTTAAATCTGTCTACCGCCGGTAGGTGGCGTATTTTAATCTCGCTTTGCTGCTTGCATATCTCCATTTCCCTTTGATCCCTTTAGCTGAGTAACGGGTATCTGATAGTCGAGGCACTCGACTATAGCGTTCTTCCTTGTTATACCCGTTACTCGTAGAGTAAAAGGGTATACTAGATTCGTCGGAAAGTATGTAACAGGCAAAAGGAAGCGTTTCCGTACCCATAAAGTATACATATTCTTGATCAGGATCACTAGCCGAGTCGATCTAGCCATGTCCGTCTGTCCGTCTGTCCGTCTGTCCGTCTGTCCGTCTGACCGTCTGTCCGTCTGACCGTCTGTCCGTCTGTCCGTCTGTCTGTCCGGATGAACGCTGAGATCTCGGAAACTATGAGAGCTAGGCTATTAAAATTTGGCGTACAGATTCCTGAGCTTCTTACGCAGCGCAAGTTTGTTTCAGTAGACTGCCACGCCCACTCTAACGCCCACAAACCGCCCAAAACTGTAACTCCTACAGTTTTGATGCTAGACAAAAAATATTAACTGAAATGTATTGTTCTCATCAATACCTATCGATTGACCTAAAAAAAGTTTGCCACGCCCACTTAAACGCCCACAAACCGCGAAAACCTGTGACGCCCACAATTTGCATGCTACATAAAAAATTTTAACTGAAATGTATTGGTGTCGTCAATACCTATCGATTTATCCAAAAATAAATTTGCCACGCCCACTCTAACGCCCATAACGCTTAAATCTGTCTACCGCCGGTAGGTGGCGCATTTTAATCTCGCTTTGCTGCTTGCATATCTCCATTTAGCTGAGTAACGGGTATGTGATAGTCGAGGTACTCGACTATAGCGTTCTTCCTTGTTTTTATTTGCTGTTTTGAGTGCATTGTACAGACCTCTAGCATGAACCCCATACGTTAATTAGTTCAGAAATATACATTTCAGGCGCAAATCTGCGAATTGCAAATTCATAAGAAAAATTAAATTAAAATCTATTTGGTCTTTATTTTTGAACGCTTCAACTGTTTTTTTTATTTTTTCTGGGTGTATTTATATAAGGCATTCAATCTATTTCCAGTGGAACAGGCGCGAAATCTGAGGATGACGGATGATAACTATGACAGCGATGTCAACGATGGCAACGACGAAGTGGTCTTTATAATGACCACGTTCGCTCTGGACCTGATGCGAACACTCTCGGCGTGCAACAAGGCTTACTCGGATTCTTATTTCGAGCGCTCCTTATCCAGCGGTAAGATCTGCATTGGAATCTCCAGTGGCGAGATAATGGCCGGCGTGGTGGGGGCTTCCCAGCCGCACTACGACATTTGGGGAAACCCGGTCAATATGGCCTCCCGAATGGAATCAACGGGGCTGCCTGGCCACATCCAGGTGACAGAGGAGTCCGCCAAAATTCTCCAGGAGTTCGACATTCTGTGCATCTACCGCGGCATGACCTTTGTTAAGGGCCGTGGTGAAATACCCACATACTTCGTAGGCATCGATGAAAACCTGAAGTTCATGTCCGCGAAATTGGCCAATCAGAGTTCGTCAAGACGCTTTTCAGTCATGTCTTCACTAGATCCAGACTCTGTTGGTAGGGATTCTTCTAGTTATGAGTGTTCGAGCGAATAGCTTTTTTACGTTTTTGCAAAAGTTTTCCAAATATATATTTTAAATGTAATAATTTTGTCTTTTCTTTATATATTTTAAGATTTTAATAACTGTTAAACTGTGAGCTGGATGCGCTTTGTCGAGATCTATCAACAGCTTTTAATTCTAAAAGAAGTATATAAGATCGACTGACTTGGTCGGATTACAATACAACATATACTAACTTAATGCTTGTGTCCACACGGTTTAACATTTATTTATAGTTATACCGTGTAAGGTGGTGGAAGGGACATAGGCTGAAAGTCCTTATAACGCTGCATCGCTAAGTATGATATGATAGTCCAGCACTATCTGACGAGGATTTATCCAGAGAAGTCATAAGAAAAGTCAAACACAAAAAATTAAAAAATGCTTGCAACCTAAATATTAAAAAAATGTAAACTTTTAAGTCTAGGGTCACTTTGATTCTTAGTTTATGAAGACGGAGAGTTGTCCAATCTCTTTCGAATTCTTTTGTATGTAGCCATTAGGTGAAATAGGCGTTTGACACGTTATTACAAAAAGCAGGCTTAGCTCTGGTATCCAAAATTTATTCAAAAATATTGAACACTAGGAAACGATCCGGAGATATGAACAACGAAAAAACTCATAGAACGCCGTTCAAAGAGAGGTTTAAGACCTGTTATCTTGACTATACTGATGAGCGCCTGTGGGAATATAGCTATTTAAAGGTAACAAATCGTTAACCCATTATTATACAAAGGGGAGTTTGTTTCATAAAAGTAATGTCCATAGGCTAGATGTAAGGAATTGAACTTGGAAGACGAGTATAAGAAGTATCAGGTCCGTCTGATGATCAGTTACCTCACCGTTTTCTATCCCTTGTATATACTAGTGGTCGTAGGTCATCAAGTAGTGAAATGGTCTTGTGCCGAGGTGAGAGTAATCAGTTGATGGACTTAGCATATCTAAATTAACTTGTATGCAGTACACAAAATTCACCTATCTGGATTTGATTTTTGAAGGAACTTCTCTAGCTCTGGTTACTGGCTTGATGAGCATTAATTTCTTCGAAAACTTCGTGACTCGCCACCACTGGATAATGATCGTCACCTCGGTTTTGTCCGCATATATTGTGGCATTCTCCGGTAGGCTTAAGTTTATCCATCGACTATGTCCTCTTTTTGACTTTCCGTTTTCAGATATAGCGTGCAACATATTTCATTACTACCAGACCCAGTGGCCTCTCAATACCTCATATGACGTCTTTGTGCTGTGCATGATTTACATGTTCCTGCCGATACCCTCGATCACTGGAGCTGCACTATTGGCCTTTTCAGTCAGTCTTTTATACGTGGTCTACTTCGTTCACTTTCTGGTGACGGACCCAAGTGACCTTGCTAAGCATATTCATGGCTTTGATGTGATATCCGTCGACGTATTCCACTTCCTGGGATTCAACATGATGGGTATATTTTTCCGTATCATGAACGAGACGGTGGTGCGTGCCTCTTTTCTGGACCGTCACCAGTTCATCAAGGAGGAGATCTGGTTGAGTCACGCTCTGCGTCAGGAATCAATACTTCTGGACAGCATCCTGCCTCCTCAGATTGCAAAACCTATTCAGAACAGCATTAAGGAAAAGATAATGCAATCAGAAGCCGAGTTCGACCTCTTCCAAATGGGAGTTCCTCGGAGGGCAGAGAACTTCATGGCCATCCAGATCCACCCTGATGTCTCCATCCTCTACGCAGATGTGGTGAACTATACCCACTTGACAACGACTCTGACGGTGGAGAAGCTAGTAAAGGTCCTGCACGACCTCTACGGCAGATTCGATATGGCTGCCTCATCTTTTGAGGTGCAGCGCATAAAATTCCTGGGTGACTGCTACTATTGTGTGGCTGGTTTGACGATGGGCGATCCAGATCACGCTAAGAAGGCCGTTTCTCTGGGAATTTCTATGATTGCCAACATCCAGGAGGTGCGGTATGTTAGTGATTGGGAAAAAATAGGGTCTACACTCAGAAGCAAATAAAGCTAAGTTACTTTAATCTAGCATTTTCGTTGTCTTAAACTCGTTTTAAACCGTTTTAAAATACGATAATACATACCGAAAATATTATATGTTAGATTGATATAATTATAGGAAATGTCAGCCTAGGTAATCAAAGTTGTCAGACCGTCAGAAATACAGAAATTTGTCTTGCTTTTACCAGTTTTAATTTCTCAGCGACAATGTTTAATTCTTATAAGTTTATAAATCGGTCACACTTTCTTACCGTTTCGGCATCTCTGTCAGCATAAACAGGGGCAATTACGATTTTAAGAATTCATGAATGTTAGCATAAACATAGTAAAAGTGATAAATTGAGCTAATAGTGTGGGGTAGGTGATTACTATATATATATAAATATATATGAATCCATACTCTTTTTAGATAGTCAAATAAGTGGATACTGTTATTGTTATTGAATGCTGCTACTAGGGTCAGTTACAAATATAATCATTTCCTTAAAAATACCTTAAATTACCGGAATACTTGATCTATGTGCACTTATGATAGCCTTATGGTCCACAGGTCGGAACGTGCCTTGGATATCGACATGCGTATAGGAGTCCATTCAGGAAGTTTGCTGGCAGGTGTCATTGGACAGACCAAGCTACAGTTTGACATATGGGGTAGGCCATTCCCTAAGGAGATGTAAATAATCCCTTTAATGAAATCCTAATAACGACTTCTTTAGGTTCTGACGTGGAGATCGCCAATCGCTTGGAAGCAACTGGAAAGCCAGGATTTGTGCACGTTAGTGGGCGGACTCTAAGTAACTTGAATGTAGCCGATTATACGATCCATCCGGGAACGGAAATGGCACAACTGGATCCCGTACTGCAAAAGCATCCGATGAGCACCTTCCTTCTTTCCGCTGTAGTAAGCCGCGCTTCTGTCCGACCAGTGGATGTAGGGCCCTCATATGTGAACCTAGACATTAAAACCTTGGGACCAACCCGGGATACTGCCAGTCTTGCCTCTATGACCGATGAGTTGCGTGAGGAATTTAACAAAATGCCCGTGGGGGGCTTGAAGTAAGTGATGTTTTGGTGAAAATAAAATTTCATGTCAAAATAGCAAAACTGAGCGTTGTGGCTTTTCGATATCGATACTAACTTCATTTCTGTACATGTCTCTCCTTCCTGTTTAATAATTTTGCTTTCATCAATGAGCCTTCTACCCATGAATAATTTAAACTTGATTGTGGACCGAAAGGTTCAAAAATTGTTTTGAAATCGAGTATATTATGTCTGGCCACCATTCTCCTCCATTTCCATATCTAGATAATGAATAACATAATAATAATAAACTTAGATTTAAATAGTGCACGCAAAAAACATGTTTTAAAATTGGAACTACTTTTTACCATAGGTATCGGTCACCTTGCTGCCAGCAAAATCCAAATTCGAGTGGTGAGAAATCCCAACACGATGTGGGCATGTTTTGTGCAGCGTTCAAGGACTCGTCTTTGGAATGGAGTTATTTACACCAACCAGATTTTATATTCAAGTCTTCTATGCTGCTGGCCTGGGGCATTGGGGGCTGCCTGATATTCATCCAGATCGCGTGCAACAGACTTGTCTGCGTTGAATGTATTGTGCTTAATGCGATCGCCTTTTCTTTTCTGACTTCCCTACTCTTTATCGCATGGTACAAGAAATTGTGTTGGTGGCAATATGGACACAATAACCTCAAAAAGTACAGCAAACTCAGCTGCATCGTATTTCAACTGCTTGAAAAGATCCAGCACAGCTTTCTCCTGCGCATTACTATTTATATAATGCTTATAGTGTGCTATTACATAGTGATTGCTTTGATATTGGTGAGTTTAGACATCGGTTCAGTGGTGCTCAATTCTAAATTTTGGCAATGCTCGTATCCTACTCCAGTACACCTCAGTCGGAAGTTAATACCTACAATGAATTTTTTATTATTTCTTTGGAAGAACAGAATGTCTTCCCTAGTGAAAGTTGCCTTTTCCTTTACATGTATTTCTTTAAATTTAGTGTTCCTATTGCAGTCCATCGGAATAAGGTTTCAACTTCGGAAGATATTGTTTTTTTTTGTTTTTATCCACAAAAGAACACTTTTGGAATGCATTTCTTCAAAGTAGTTTCCTACATTCAATTTTCTCTAGCAAAAATTGTCGTTTTATAAGAGAATTTTTCTTTATTGGAATGTGATTATTAACTTTCGACTGGGACACATTTATTTTAATTTAAAAAAATGTATAATCAAAAAACTAAATGGTGTTCCACTGTGCGTTGGTTAAATCCTGGTATGGGAGGACTTCTTTCACATATTTTATGCTTTTCGATATTTCCAGGCGAACTGTGATCAAAGTCAGTACGAGTTGGACCTCATTGAGAGCAAGCTCTTTCACTACGAAGAGAATCAGAATACCTGCTTCCACCCGTGGGCGTTCACAAACATGGTAGCCCTGATCCTCGGCATGAGTTACACCTTCGCACGCATCCCGTTCGCCCTCAAGACAATCATCGGCTGCTGCGAGGCAGTGGCCTACCTGCTGATTGTGCTTTTCCAGTACGCCTTTCTTTTCCAGCACAGTGCCACCACGACTCCGTATTTGAGAGCTGAAATAGCGCACTGTGTTCGGGTCTGCATGATGCTAGTCATTATGTATGCAAAAGAGCGTCAGGCCGAGTTCAACACAAAAATGAACTACAAGTGAGTGGAATAAATGTTAGACACATAGACCTCAGAGTCAACTGCAAGTTTTTGCTTTTAACAGGCTCAACTTGGATTTGCGTAATAAGCAAAAAGCAGCCGACGTCACAAACCAATCGATTATTATTTTGCTCAATAACATACTTCCCTCTCATGTTGGTCAGTTTTTGATGGAATAACTTCCCAATGAGGTTAGCAGAAACTAACTTTTTCTTCCGCAGTCGAGCTCTATCTGAACTCAGTAGCCAAACACGAGCTCTACTATGAAAATTATCAAATGGTATCAGTCATGTTTGCCATGCTGATCAATTTTCAAATGGATTTGCCAAGCTTACGAGTGCTAAACGACATCATAACTGAATTTGATAAGCTGGTAAGCTTTGTGGAAGCTTTTATGGTACTTATATTACTTACATCCGATTGCAGTTGATTACCTACAGGAAATATTACGTTGTTGAGAAAATCAAAGTCGTTGGCTGCACCTATATGGCAGCTTGTGGACTGGATCTAAACCTCGCTTCAAAAATCAAACGCAGTGTGAGCATTGGCAGTGAATCATTTCACTCCAAAAGTACGTATTGATAACATATTGATATTGCTATGACATTGATAGTTGAGGTACACAGCCAAAAATTTCCATCAACCACCTAAAGTTTTCCATGATAATAAGATCCTCATGAGTAAATGTCCTATACAAACTTGTGTTCTGCGGTATAACTAGTACAAAAAACCTGTTTGCCTTCTTTTTATACCCGTTACACCCACCCGTAGGTGGCGCATTACAATCTCTCTTCGCTGCTTGCATATCTTCATCTCCCTTTTGTCCCTTTATCTGAGTAACGGGTATCTGATAGTCGAGATACTCGAGTATAGCGTTTATTTGGAATTGATTAGGTAAATACCACTAACAAGGTGAACCAATCTATTTATAGATAGACCAATAACTAATAATCGGATAGGGAAAGCTGTCCGTAATAACGCTGTGATTTTGGAAACTATAAGAGGTTTGAGATTTATCATCCAGATTCATAAGCTTTTCAGTAAGCGCAAGTCAGTTACCCCAAGGTGCCACGCCCACTCTAATGCTGGCAGACGACTCTAATGCAAAATCTACATCCGCATGTTTTAAAGATTTTGTAAAAGTAACAAAAAAGTACAAGTTTGTTTTAAAAATTTTCAGTGTACGTTTTTCTTAATTTGTCATACCTATTGATTGACCTAAAACTTTGCCCCGCCCATTCCTGTGCCCACAAAAGATTAGGGCGCCCACGTTTTATATGTTCTTTTTGCAGTGTAAGTTTTACTTAAGGGGCTATCCATATTACGAACGAAAGTTTTTAAGGGGGACTGTACATCGAGCCAAAAAGTAATTTGTTTCGCAGGAGTCATTATTTGGCAGGCAAAAATCAAAACAAAAACAAGTTATGTGTATTATTTATTATTATTTTTTCAAATCGGATTATTAGTTAAAGCTAACGTGTTCCTTCTTATTTTTTTGCATCTTGTTCTTGTGTACATGTTTGTTTCAGTGGAGGAGGAGCGCAGCCTGCTAGAATCAATCAAAGAAGGTTCCAATCACGATGAGGTGGCGTTTATAATGACCACGTTCGCTCTGGACCTGATGAGAGTCCTGTTTGTGTGCAACAAAGCATACGCGGGTAGACCCTTCGATCGGGCCTTATCGACCTGGGAGATCTGCATCGGAATATCCACCGGGGAGATAATGGCCGGAGTGGTGGGCGCTTCTCAACCGCACTACGACATCTGGGGAAACCCCGTCAATATGGCCTCTCGAATGGAATCAACGGGGCTGCCTGGCCACATACAGGTGACGGAGGAGTCGGCCGAAATTCTTGAGGACTTCGGCGTTCAGTGTAATTACCGCGGCTTGACCTTTGTTAAGGGACGTGGGGAAATTCCCACCTACTTCGTTGGGATCGATGAGGACTTAAACTTCATTTCCAGGAAAGGTTCCAGTAAGTCTCCAAGGCGTTTACCGTATACTCAAGATACGGATCTGTTCGGCAAAGAAGTTTGATAGAAATCGTTCAGGGAAAATTTTACGTAAAATTAAAATCGGTTTCAAAATGCATATTGTAGGCTACGTATCTCAAATTATCTATTTGTAATTGCTGACTGGAAAATTCGAGGTACGTCGCTTTACAAAATGAACCCAATCTTTGTATTTCTTAACCATATTATTTTTAAAAAAATACATATATATTATATCATTTTAGTAAAAAGTTTTTTAATTGCAGTCACAACGGCTTGTACATCTAAATTGCGGAAGGATATTTGTCTTAAAATAAATAGGGTTACACATTGCAAATGATTTTTATTTTGCCTGTTTATTAATGTTAATCCCTGCAATAGTAGGCATTGTAATTAATGTTAAGTTTATCTATTGAGTCGTAACGTGTTGACATTTGAAATAGTAAAACAGATTTGTGAATAATAAATCAAAATGCCATTGCCCAGAGGAAATTGCCAGCTTAACTATGCGAGGGAGCGCATGTGGGAACCGGGCTACCTTAAGGTAACTTGTAATTCAGTTTTAATTTATTTTAAATTAAATACAACAAGAGCGCACTTTTTAGGCTAAGTGTGCAGAGTTGGGCTTGGAGAACGAGTTCCGATTGTATCGCATACGCCTTTGGAAGAGTTACCTATTCTCTTTCTTTTTGCTGCACTCTTTCGTGACCCTTTTGCACTGTACCCTGCTGTTAACAACCATTGAGGTAAGTAACCTGAAAAGGGGAATCACCAAATCTGTAGACTAAAATTTAAATTTCAATGAACACTCAACACTTGGATCCCATTTTCGTAACTGTTAGAAGTTGTATATTTTATAACTCTTATTTCGCTTATAAACAAAACAAGTCGTGACGATCGCAAAGAAACGATTGACGAAATAAAAACGCTGATATTATGGCACCAGCTATGTGTGTACAAATTCTGCACATAGTAACATGAACAAATCGATGAATCGATTTTCGTAATTTTCGGAATGCTTTTCCGACCCTTTAAAGTATATATATTTTTACTCAGGTTCACTAGGAAAGTCGATCTAGCCATGTTCGTCCCTACTTGGGTCTGTCCGTATGAACGCTTAGATCTCAAAAACTATATAAGCTAGAAGGTGGGATTTAGCATACAAATTGTTGAGATTCAATATCTATCTTCACTGTTCAAAGTCGCTTTGCTGATTGCATATCTTCATCTCTCTCGCACTCCTCTTGCCTGACTAAGGGGTATCCGATAGTCGAGGCCGTCGATATATACTTTTCGACGAATCTAGTATATCTTTTTACTCTATGAGTAATGATAAAAACCAGTAATTCACCGAATTTTCGGTAATTAGACCATTAAGAAATCGATTGGTTGAGGAGAACTTGCGGTGAAAGAGATATTCTTGTCTACTGCAGTTAGGCAATATTGCTTACAATCCTTTATAAATCCTTTACAAATACAATTTTATATACTTATACCAGCTACATACTTTTCGACGACTCTAGGATACCTTTTTACTCTACAAGTAACGGGTATACAAATTTGTAAGTTGTTTATTTAAGTAACAAATTATATATTATACTTTTTAAGCGCCGGTCGATTATCTATTTTGATGTGGCCTTAGCCTTAGGATGCTCCATTGTCCTTTTACTCGTGTTGAGCATTAACTTCTGCGATGGCTTTATTGCGAAACACACGTGGTATATGTATAGCAGTTCGGTATTTGCCTCCTTTACGTTGGTATTTTCTGGTAAGCCTTAAAAATCGAAACTTTTTTAGTAATGCCAAATTCCGAAATCTACCTTTAGACCTAACTGAATCTGTTTACCACTACCACGCCCACAACTGGCAGCTGGGGACGTTCTACGACACCTACATCGTATACATGATATACATGTTCCTGCCAATCCACTTCATGAGCGGAGCAGTCCTTCTGGCAGTCCTAGTATCAGCCGTGTACATTGTCTACTTCGTGCAATACCTTTCCAACGGGTTCTCCCAATTCGTGTCCGAACTGTTTTCCAACGGCGGAATGTCAGTGGACTTGGTGCACTACCTGTGCCTCAATCTGGTGGGTATATTCTACCGCGTGATAAACGACACGATAGTGCGCTCCTCCTTCCTGGACCGGCACCAATACATCAAGGAGGAGCTCTGGCTGCGCAACGCCCGAATCCAGGAGAAGCAGTTGCTGGACTCCATCCTGCCGCCGCAGATCTCGGAGCCCTTGCAAAAGGACATTCAGAACCGGATTATCCTGACCAAGCGCGGCGGTGGCGTTCGTCTCTACAGTGCCTTCGAGCGCGCAATGGCCATCCAGATCCATCCCGATGTCTCCATCTTGTACGCAGATGTGGTAAACTACACCCACTTGACCACTACATTGACGGTCGAGAAGTTGGTAAAGGTCCTGCACGACCTCTACGGAAGATTCGATATGGCTGCTTTTCGCTTCAAGGTGCAGCGCATCAAGTTCCTGGGCGACTGTTACTACTGTGTGGCGGGTTTGTCAGACCCCGATCCCGATCACGCGAATAATTGTGTGGCCCTAGGCCTTTCTATGATCGACGAAATCATGGAAGTACGGTAAGTCACCCCTTAAAAAACATCTTACCGGCTAAAACAAAAATAAGAGGGAAAATGTTCTCAAGAACTTACGTATGTTTGCTAGTATTTTCACTGAAAATGTTTGAGTAAGCATTTGTACTGTGCATGTGCTTTCACTGTGTTTAACTATTTTATGTTTTACCAAAATTATTTGGCTGAAATTATAAAATGACTTCCAATTATTTCGGAAGCATTCTTGTTGTACAAACATAATTATTTGTTATACTAACTGTTACTAATCAAATATTTACAAATGTACATTACATTTTCTGATCTAATAAGAGTCAAAATATATGAGAGTTGTTTTTTACAACTAACACGCAAAGATAATTTTTTTGTTTTTCAATTTTTCTCTACCGGAAAATGTCGGTTGTTTTTAAAGTTGATTATTTTTTAATTTTTGAATCGATTTCTTTTTTGAATTTAGGGGAAGTTTTTGCATTAAGAACGTAAAAGATATTGTTACAAGATCACAAGAACAAGTAATTTTTTTTCTATTAAGGAAAATTCTTTCTTGAAAAGTGTCATTAGGACGATTCCTGTTAATCCTTTTCAAGAAATGTGCTATATTTCTTCTATATTTAAATGGAACTTCTTAAGTGCCAAGGCATTATTTGTCTTAAATTAAAAAGGACCGAGGAGAGATTTCTAAAATAAATAAATTTATTTGTATGAGTATACTTACTTCAACTGTAATTATACCTTTGTTATGCGTTTCCAGCGACACACAAGGCTTGGACATTAATATGCGCATTGGAGTTCACTCGGGGAATCTGTTTGCTGGGGTCATTGGCGAAGCCAAGCTTCAGTTTGATATATGGGGTAAGAAGGCAAATCCTCTCCACGAAAATCCGCTGGTAGCTCAAATTTCTCAAATTCTTCTAGGACTGGACGTCACCATTGCCAATGTTCTGGAATCCACCGGAGTGGCGGGATTCGTGCACATCAGCGAAGCAACTTTGAATAATCTGAGCAAACAGCGCTATGTAATTGAAGATGGTCCTGAAAAGGCAAGAAATCATCCTCTTCTGAGTAAACATCGAATAAATACATACATAATTCGTGAAGACTTGCAAAAGGATGCAGAAGAAAGTGACGAGAACTTTGGTGAACTGCATGCTGTCTCCCTCTTTAATGTAGGATCAAGATCAAGACTGAGTGATAATACTAATGAAAGCTTGAAAGAGCTGTTTTATGAAGAGTTGCGAGAAGAGTTCCGGAAAATGCCGGTTAGTGCATTCAAGTAAGTATTAAGAGGAAAACAAAATCCTTGGTTTGAACAAACTGTCTTAAAATTCAGGGCTAAATAGTCAGGGCAAAATGGTTTTCAGCCTTTTGACCCCTAAGTCATGACAATGTAACTAAGTTCTAAAAAAAATGCAACCAAGGATTATAAAATGTCTTGAAACTAGTTTAAGATGATTACAAAAGGAAACCGAGATAATTCATAGTTAAATTACCCGTTATACCCGTTACTCGTAGAGTAAAAGGGTATACTAGATTCGTCGAAAAGTATGTAGCAGGCAGAAGGAAGCGTTCCCGACTCCATAAGGGATCACAAGCCGAGTGTCATCACCATCTGTCCGTATAAGCGCTGTGATTTCGGAAACTATAAAGGCTACAATAGTAGGATTAGTCTTGCAGATTCTAGAGATTCCTGCGCAGCGCTTTTTTGTTTTTCAAAGTGCCACGCCCACTATAACGCCCACAAATCGCCAAAAACTCTGGCGCCCACATTTTCAAATATTTAAATTTAAAATAAATTTTATTTTATTCCTCTTGTCAATACCTGTCTGCACTCCAAAATTGTTAAAATCGGACTATTAGTTGATAAGTAATAGTTGTACGCCCGTATCTAGCAAGACGTCAATGACGTCACAGGCAGATAAAAGTAAAAAGCGTAAGATGTAAAAATGTAAGGTAGATCAAATTTAAACAAGAAGTGAAGCTAGCTTAGGCAGGCCGAAGATTCTATACCCTTGCAGGTCGTTCTTGTGGGAGCATTGTATGCACAGAGCTTTAGGAAAACTTAAAGCTAATTGCAGAAATATTTAAATAATGTTCCATTTTAATTTACTATCGTATATCTTTACCGAAAATTTAATGTTTCGGTCGTTGTATTATTTTATCATTACTTATCCAACCGTTCATATGGCAGCTATATGATTAAGTATTCCAATTTTTATTCCCTTGCAACGCAGGGAAGGAGACGTTTCCGACCCCATAAAGTATATATATTCTTGATCAGCATGACTAGATGAGTCGATCTAGCCATGTCCGTCTGTCCGTCCGTTCCTACGCAAACTAGTCTCTCAGTTTTAAAGCTATCGGGCTGAAACTTTTAAAAGTCTTATTTTTTTTGCAGGTAGTATATAAGTCGGAACAAATTATAGCTTCGGGTTTTTTTTAACATATATTAATTAGTTCTGAATTTCGAATTTAATGTTATCAAAATCGGACGACTATATGATAAGCTGCCATAGCAACGATCGGAAAATTGGTGGAAAAATAATATAAAACAAATTATAGCTTCGGTGCTTTTTGACATATTATC